CCATCCCCCCAGCCCCCTCCCCGAGCCCAGCCGCGCTGCCTCTGGCCCCCCCTGAGCCCAGCCGCGCTGCCCCCGACCCAACCCCAGCTGTGCTGCTCCCGAGCCGAGCCGACCCCGGCCTAACCGCGCTTCTCTCATCCCCTGTCCGGAGACAGGTGCACCCCTTGCCTTCCCGCCCGGGGTTTAAACTTACCTTGCTTGCTGGGGAGGTGGGGTGATGATTCTGCTCCCTGCCGCCTCTTTCCATGGGGTCCTAAGACCTGCCGGTTTTAGCCACGCCACGCATGCATGGCAAACCCTGTGCAGCGTCCATTCCCCTGCGCACCAAGGCGGCCCTTTGAAACATTAGGGTGTGCCTAGGCACACCCGGCACATCTCGTGTGCACACCAGCATTCAGTTTGATAGGTTGCAGGACATATTTTGTCCAAAGCATCTTTGAGTTATGCATATTTGTATCCATAAGACAGTTTCATAAAGCATGGGGGGGAGGGTCTGTCACAATTGAATCATTTCACTTTCTGTCTGAGTACAGGTAGATAGGTGAACCCTCCCTTGAACACTTCCTTCCCTTCACAGAGCTGAGACTAGAACTCCAGCCCTCATTCTAACTGCCTGACCATTTTCCTCTGAGCTCAAGTGTCCTACTCCCAGTCTCCTTGCTCTGACTGCTAGACTCCATTCCCCTTCCACAGCCAGGTATAGGACCCAGCAGTCCTGGTTTCCAGACTTGTTTGACACTTAAATGTTAGGTTGGCATAGTTATGTTGGTTGGGTGTGAAAAATCTATCACCTGAATGATGGAGCCGTGCTTTCTGACCTTGTGTAGACACAGCTGTGTCAACAAAAGAATGCTTCCATTGAGTAGCTCCTGTTGTTTAGGGTGGTTGTGTCCTTACACTGACAAAGAAATCCCTTCTATTGCTTTAGGCTGAGTCCTTGTCACATGGCACATCAGCATTCTATGCTAGTGTAGTCTGTGAAGTGTAGACATAACCCCAGCCTCCTTGTTCTGACTACTCAGCCTTACTCCTCTTCTACAGTCAGAAGCAGAACTAGAGATGTGAAGTCCCAGCACTACCCACTAAGCATGGTTTCCTTTCTTTCCAAAAGAGCCGAACAGCAGAGCAGACCAAGGCCTTTAGCTTTCCCATTTGTCTTTCTCACAGGCCCAGGTTTGTAAGTAGAGAGCAAGTTGTCTGAGGACATCCTGACCTCTGGAGCTGCTGGCTGCGGCAGGGTTGTCCCTTGGTGATTCGGTTAATATCTGGGAGCTGCAGAGCTGGCATATGGCTGTCTGTGGTGTGGCAGCAAAGAGCTTGCTCAGCTCTGTGATGAAAATGTGTTTATGCCTGAAGGGGAGGAGACAAACTGCTGTTCATCTAGGGAGACTAGGAACAAGGGAGCCAGGGAGGGAACCACTGGAGGGTACACAGTGCTCTGCATTGCTTGGTAAGCTGTGTGCTGGCAAAGCGAGTGTTTGAACACAGCCAAATGTCAGTGTACCTGTCAGACAAAAGAATGCAGGCAAGATTGCCAGGCTGGGGGGCTTTC